GAAATCACTAAAGTTGTCACCGCTACTCCATCAACATTCAGTGATCTCCACTTGATTCTGTGTTTCATGCTGAGTGGTTGGCCGGAAGCATTGTGAACACAGGAGGTCAGCCGCTCAGGACGGGCACCATTCAAGAATGCTTGGCATTTTCTAAATGAATACGAAACATTCTCCGATTGGACACAGAGGAGAGCATGATGTCACACTCTCCAGCTCATCCAGTCAGAGAACGCTTGGCATTCATTCAGAAAATACCAAGCATTCTCTGAATGGTGCCTGTGCCGAGCAGCTGACCTCCTGTGTTCACAAAGCAGGAGAGCAGCCGCTCAGCACGGGACACAGAAGCTAGTGGGGATCACTGAACTAGCGGTAATGACTCTCTCCACCTTTTCCAATCAGAGAACGCTTTGCATTCATTCAGAAAATACCAAGCACTCTCTGAATGGTGCCTGCGCTGAGCAGCTGACCTCCTGTGTTCACAAAGCAGGAGAGCAGCCGCTCAGCGTGGGACCTCCAACGATCTCTACTGTCTTCCAGGTCCCTCACTAAGCTTGGCATTTTCTGAACAAAAGTGGACAAGGTGGAGAGAGTCACATCACTAGTCCAATCAGAAAATACCAAGCATTCTCTGAATGGTGCCCGTGCTGAGCAGCTGACCTCCTGTGTTCACAATACATCAAGCCAAACGTTAAGCAAGTGGAGTTCACTGAATAGCAGTATCTACTTCAGTGATTTCTAGCTTCCAGGGGAACCAGCCAGCTATGGTGTATGTGTATATATGTATATATATATATATATATATATATAATATATATAGCCACACTGGTCCAAGCTGGATCTATGAAACTATGTATAACATGACGATGTGTAGAAACCTTTTAAAAAAAAAAAGTTCACACACACCTTAGGCGCTCATTCACACTGGGGGAAAAAAACAAAGAAAAAAAGAAAAAAAAAAAAAAAACACTCACTGCTAGAGCATAGAAAACAACTGCCCTGTTCTCATTGCAATGCAGCCCGCAGTTGCAGTGGGCTGCAATAAAATGTAGATATGCTGCTTTGTGTCACTTTGTGCAAATTAAATAAAGCTGACCAAAAAAAAAAAAAAAAAAGGCACCTCACTGCAGCCTGAAACTAACAGTTGCCTGTATAAATGGGCCCCAATTGTTTCATTTTGAATGGGGTATCATAATCCCGAATGCTGGTACAAAGGGGAGGCCGGTCCACTATGACCAAAACTAAACCGAATTACCAAAATGTTAAAGTAGAACTACAGCTAAAACATTTTGGATGGAGTAAGGGAGGGTTTTTTTCACCATCTGTGTCCCATTGCAGATATTTCCATTCACTTTCCATCCCAAAGCCAAAACAGGTAGTGAGAGGAAATCCCTGCAAATTATGGGAATACATTCGGGCCCCCACATCACCGGAACCAGTGTCCCCATTAGAAGATTTCCCCTCTATCACTTTTCTGGGGAGAACCCAAAAATTTGGGATTTTGTACAGACAGCGCTAAAAACTGACGGGGGTTCTAATCCCTTCCATCCACAACTAAAAGTATTGCCTTTAGTTATACTTTAACCTCTTAACGCCAGCACCTCCTGGCCCTTTAAAGGGGTTTCTGATGCCCGGACCCCGCATTCGCCGTATCCGCTCTCCCCGGACCCCCGCGCTCACTGTATCCGCTCTCCCCGGACCCCGCGCTCACTGTATCCGCTCTCCCCGGACCCCGCGCTCACTGTATCCGCTCTCCCCGGACCCCGCGCTCACTGTATCCGCTCTCCCCGGACCCCGCGTTCACACTATCCGCTCTCCCCGGACCCCGCGTTCACACTATCCGCTCTCTCCCGGACCCCGCGTTCACACTATCCGCTCTATCACTATATCCGCTCTCCCCGGACCCCGCGCTCACTATATCCGCTCTCCCCGGACCCCGCGCTCACTATATCCGCTCTCCCCGGACCCCGCATTCACTATATCCGCCCCGCATTCACTATAATCACGCCGCTCCTCCCTCCCCGGACCCCGCATTCACTATATCCGCTCTCCCACAGTACACAGGACATGGAAAGGCAATTATTTTAGTAAATTTAAACTGCTAAATACCTTTTTTCATCAACAGTATAGAGCAGTCTTGAGACTTCTGTCAGTGTCCAGCAGAGCACTGGTTAAAGGTTGCAGGTGGCGTTTTCATTAACCCGATTGTCCTATAAAGCTGCAGGATCCCTGACCTCTGCCTGGACAATGCTGATTGGCCCTGTGCTGATCACATGCACCTTCCCAAGAAAATAAAAATTCTACTAATAGACGAACTGAGCATGTGCAGTTTGCCCCCAAGACTTTGTTCTATCAGCAGATGGATAGGAAACCTCGCTAGCAAAACACACCATACTGAGCATGTGCAGAGTGACGCCACACGATATGTCTTATCAGGAGATAAGAGGGGGACACTGGAAGAAGGGGAAGATCAGGGAAGACAGTATCAAACAGCCGTTTTACATAGCGGAGGATCAACCCCTTAGGTTCCACAGTGAGTATGAAGAGCATGCTTTACTGCATATATATAGGCTGATTTTACTGTTGTGGGTTTAGGAACACAAAAACAACATAAAACGATTGTAAGCTCCCAGGATCAGAGTCCTCCCATCCATCTTGTATTGAACTGTATTGTTGCTGTATTGTCTCCCGTTATATTGTAAAGCGCCAAACTGTTGGCGCCATAAATCCTGTATAATAATAATAATAACATATTCTATTACAGGATACAATGTAACATGGTAGATTGTAAGCTCCCAGGATCAGGGCCCTCCCCTCTTATATTGAACTGTATTGTTGCTGTATTGTCTCCCGTTATATTGTAAAGCGCTGAGCAAACTGTTGGCGCCATAAATCCTGTATAATAATAATAATAATCATATTCTATTACAGGATACAATGTAACATGGTCATTATATTATATTAGATTGTAAGCTTCCAGGATCAGACCCTCCTATCCCTCTTGTATTGAACTGTATTGTTGCTGTATTGTCTCCCGTTATATTGTAAAGCGCTGAGCAAACTGTTGGCGCCATAAATCCTGTATAATAAAAAAAAAACAAAAAAAAAAAAAAAAAAACAGCTCACTGATGTCAACCTTGCTGCAAATGACAGACCACCAAAAGGCATACAAATGCAATTCTCATTTATTACAGATTTAAAAAAAAGTAAATGAGAAAGCAAAATATGGAAGAGGATTTTTTTTTACAATTTTAAAAACACAGCAAACAAGACACATAACTTAAAAAAAAACAACAAAAAACTGGAGACCTAATTTGTCAACGATCTGTGCTATGTTATCCCACAACAACCACTCAGCGCGGGGTCACATACATGCGGGGCGGTACATCGCATGTGATTCGCACCGGAACCGCACCGCATTCCCTGCCAATCACATGCGACTTGTGTGCGGTGTGATCGGAGTCGTACATTTTGTATGGCTCTAATCGCACCGCACCAAAGACGCGCAGGACCCTTTTTTTTGGTCCGTACTAGAATCGGATCGCACGGGTATTCACACCTATGTGATCCGATTCTGCGCGTCGCACCGCGTTTTGCGGACTGCTTTCGGAGTGTTAACATACACACCCGCAGCGCTTCGCATGAACAGGGTTGCGATTCTGATGCAGTGCAGAATTCGCACTGAAAATTCCGCACCGCATCAGTGTGAACCCGGCTCATTGAAAGAAAAAAAAAAAAAAAAAAAAAAAACAGAAGACAATAACTGACACATTGTTACGAGGCAGGGGTAGGCAACCTGCGGCTCTCCAGCTGTTGCAGGACTACAAGTTCCATCGTGCCTCTCCAAGTCACAGCTGTAACTGTCAGTTTTGTAATGTTGCAATGCCTCATGGGAAATGTAGTTCCACAACAGCTGGAGAGCCACAGGTTGCCTACCTGTTATGGGGCAACAGACCTTTTGACAAATATGGTGCATTTTACATCCAAAAACTACTAAAAATGACTTTTTTTTTTTTTTGATGATGATCACCTGGCAACCCTTTCCATTTCCCAGACCATCGAACACCAAGATTCGCCTTCAGTCCCGGTCCACAAAGCCGTACTGATGATGACGCTTGCAGCTCCCAATGATCAGTTAATTCTACAATATTGACACACAAGGGAGATAAACCATCGATCCTGGCAGCGCACGTGCGTTCGTAGGCTTGCATGGACTGACGCCAGGAAAGGAAAATGACGGCATTTGATACAATTTTCCGTTTTATAGCAGCCAAGGAATAGGGAATTCGTTAAATTTAATGGTTTCCTTGAGAGGTTGATGATGAATTCCAGGCGATTCTGACAGCCGGCAGTGATGGTTTTAGCTGGAATTTGGCCTTACTCTAGGTTCACATCTGTGCAGGTGGTGCCGCTGTGGATCTGCATGAAAATCCGTGCAGCTGCACCAACAGTACAGAGAAACGCGGACCGGCAGGCGGGTGCCATTATAACTAATGGCATGCCGCCCACACTGGGAATCACAACCGTACTGGGAACAGAGGCTGCATTTTCCAACGAAGGGCAGGGACTTCTTCCCTGCGTGTCACGGGGCATCTGAGTGCAAAATGCATCGCACACGGCCACGTAGATGTGAACCGGGGGGGGGGGGGGGGGTTACAGCTGATACGGGATTTTCATCGGGAAATGTCCATGTTAACCTCGTAACACATATGTGCAGCAGCAAAGGAGGGTATACTTTAGATGTCCACACCCCACACATGTGCGTCCATGGGCAGCAGGGATTCATGCGGCAAGACCGACTGCCGCTCATGTGACCACTGCCAGCATATCGCACTGGTCATGTGATCGACTGGTGTAAATACCCAGTTAAAGGGACGTTGGGGCTGTGCAGGAGGTGGGGGGGGGGTAATAAAACTCAACTTCCTTCTTCATCTCTTCCATGTACAAACCACACAGTGGTAAAAGGTAAGATTCGGTAGGACAGGGCGAATGCGCTTTCCTTTTTAGGTCTGCAGAAACTCAGGCTGTACTCGCGCCACCTTCCGGGGTTCCTTGATGTGCGTTTTGGGGCACTGCATCTCACACCAGCTGATAGGCACCATGGTCGCCCCTGTGGAAGCAAACACACCAATCGTTAACCAATCACAACCACAGCAGGTCTGAAAGAGCATCTGTAACCGTCCTGCAAAGGCCGAGTTCCCATCCGCTGTTCATGAATCAAGCCCAATTCTCCCCCACCCGCCATTTTCCTTTGTCAGCCTCTAAAAAATAAAAAAAGGACACCTTCACCCCATACACCTTCCTCACACCTCCATTTATAGATGTTCTGATGGGTTATTCTTGGGGTCTAAACCCCCTCTATGCACAACACTCCCATCCGTGGTCTTAGAAGCCTCAGAGGGATGGCCAACCACAGAGCACTTAGGCCAGCCATACATGGGACCCAAGAATAATCGGCCAATTTTCACTCTGTTAGTGGGGTCAATGGCACCGGCCAATTTTCACTCTGCTAGTGGGGTCAACAATGGCACCGGCCAATTTTCACTCTGCTAGTGGGGTCAATGGCGCCGGCCAATTTTCGCTCTGCTAGTGGGGTCAATGGCACCGGCCAATTTTCGCTCTGCTAGTGGGGTCAATGGCACCGGCCAATTTTCGCTCTGCTAGTGGGGTCAACAATGGCACCGGCCAATTTTCGCTCTGCTAGTGGGGTCAATGGCACCGGCAATTTTCGCTCTGCTAGTGGGGTCAACAATGGCACCGGCCAATTTTCGCTCTGCTAGTGGGGTCAACAATGGCACCGGACAATTTTTCGCTCTGCTAGTGGGGTCAACAATGGCACCGGCCAATTTTCGCTCTGCTAGTGGGGTCAATGGCACCGGCCAATTTTCGCTCTGCTAGTGGGGTCAACAATGGCACCGCCAATTTTCGCTCTGCTAGTGGGGTCAACAATGGCACCGGCCAATTTTCGCTCTGCTAGTGGGGTCAACAATGGCACCGGCCAATTTTCGCTCTGCTAGTGGGGTCAACAATGGCACCGGCCAATTTTTCGCTCTGCTAGTGGGGTCAATGGCGCCGGCCAATTTTCGCTCTGCTAGTGGGGTCAATGGCACCGGCCAATTTTCGTGGTCCCCCCCTCCCCGGGCATGTTGGAAAACTGGTGAAAAATAACTGATTTTCGACTCCATGATGGTCAAATCGTACGATTGTTTTTTTCGAAAAGAATATGCGCCATGAGCCGTGACCTGGAAGGAACAGAAGTTTCACCTGTTATATGGGGTGAACTTTATGACTCAGTCGGCCGATTTTTTAAATCAATGATGGCGCCATCGGATTACCGAGCGAACGACGTTTCCGATTTTCAGATGAAAAATAGTTTGGAATTCGAACCATGTATGGCCTGCATTAGGTGTGGTGGCAACGTAGGTGTGGGGCGTCAACACCCACATGCTGCATATATGCGGCCTACCAACCAAATCCTTCTCTTCCTTCCTCCCAACACCTTCTGCTCTCGAAGTTCCCTTGTCATCTCCACCCCCCATGCTCGCCTGCAAAACTTCTCCTGAGCCTCTCCCATCCAATGGAATTCCCTACCCCAATCTGTCCAACTCTGTCCACTTTTAGGTGATCCCTGAAAACTTCTCTTCAAAGAAGCCCATCTTGCCTTCACCTAACTGTACATGTATTTTCGCCATCAGCCCACCCCCCACAGTTATAACCTTTAGTATCACTTGACCCCCCCCTTTAAATTGTAAGCTCTAACAAGCAGGGCCCTCGGACTCCTCCTGTATTGAAGAACATACAATACAGCAAATCCAAAAATGAAAATAAAAAGACAAAAAAACGGAGCTGAGGCTGTGCCGCTTCAAGGATTAAATTGTTGTTAAAACGGAATAAACCGCAACTGCTTGCCCGCCGTCCTATAGAAGAACTACTGCTACAGGGCTGCGCACACTCACGCATATACACATGTGGTTTGCATTTCCAAGTAGAGGGTGCATGCTCGCTGCCCTACCGCGCCATCATTGGCGGCTACGGATGTCAATCACTGGGTCCCGGCCGGAGATTCCCCACCAGCCCCCGACGATCACTATGTAAAGCAGACAGGGGAGAGACCTGTGTGTTAACAATACAGATGTCTCCCCTGTCAGCAAGGACATGCTGCTGTGCATCTCTCTGCACAGCATGTCTCCCTAGTAAAAAAAACTCCCAGCACACAGTTAACCCTTTGATCGCCCCTCATGTTAACCCCTTCCTGCCCAGGGCCATTAGTAGTGTGAGTGCTTTTTATTACCACTGTATTGGTGTCACTGGAGAGGTCAATGACACCAAATCAGTTCCCCCCCCCCAGTGTTAGAATGCCCGCCTCAGTCCCGCTACAAGTCACTGATCGCAGGCATTACTACTAAAAATAGAAAAAAAAAAAATCCCATCATCTATCCCGCCATTTGTAAACGCTATAACTTTCACGTAAACCAATTAATTTACACGTATTGGGATTTTTTTTAGCGAAGACGTGGAGCAGAATACATTTATGATGACATTAGATTTTTTTTTACATTTTTTTTTTACTGGACATGTTTAATAGCAAAAAGTCAAAAATATTGTTTTTTTTTCCTCAAAATTGTTGGTCTTTTTTTTTATCTAGCGCAAAAAAAAAAAAAAAAAAAAAAAAAAAAAAAAAAAAAACCGCACAGATCAAATATCACCCAAAGAAAGCTCAAGTTGTGGGAAAAAAAAGGACGTAAATTTAATTTGGGTGCGGCGTTGCATGACCGTGCAATTGTCAGTTACAATAACGCAGCGCTGTAACACTAAAAATGGCCTGGTCAGGAAGGGAGGGAAATCCTCTGGAGGGAGAGGGTTAAGGGCAGTGCAGGGGCGGGTGGCCGTTTATAAATGGCCTAACTGCTCCCTGCTTGTGCGCGCTCCCTGGGAGCACGCAGCACCACGACCCGATGCCTGCTGTGTCCTCCAGACACAGAATACCGATCATCGTATGGGACCTCTGTGTGAGGTCCCGATCATGTGATCACTGATTGGCCAATCAGTGATCACATGAAGAGTGGTAAGCAAGATGTCACTTCTGACGACATTGCTTACTACGTGTGAAATCTGTGAATGATCACAGAGATCACATGGTACAGGGCCATTCACAACAGCCTTGTATCATGTGACAAGCTGTGACCAATCACAGCTCTCACAGTATTTCTCAACGGCTGCAGGAATGCAGCCAGAGAGAAGGAGAAATTATTGCTTTTACAGCCTTTATGGGAGTAAAAGCAATCCGTGTAAAAGAGAAAAAAAAAAAAAATCTTCATCACCCCCCACAAGTAGTACAGTGTCACCATGGTAACACTGCACTGCTAGGGTGACAGTATATAAAAAAAACAAATTATTAAAAGAAAATAAAAAAAGTACACTTTTTTTTAGAAAGATTATAACTTTTGGTTATAAACTAATTTGTGTTTCTTTTTTTACTAAAAAGATAACGGAATACATTTTGGCCAAGATTTATGATAAAAAAACTATTTACAGTTGCAAGAAAGTATGTGAACCCCTTGGGATTACATGGCGTTTTGCATGAATTGGGCATAAAATGTGCTCTGAACGTCATCTAAGTCACAACAATAGAAGAACACAGTCTGCTGAACATAATACTACACAAACATTAGATGTTGCCATGGTTTAATTGCACATAACATGTAAACATTCACAGTGCAGGGAGGAAAAAGTATGTGAACCTTTGGACTTAATAACTGGTTGACCCTCCTTTGGCAGCAATAACCTCAACCAAACGTTTCCTGTAGTTGCAGATCAGACCTGCACAATGATCTGGAGTCATTTTGGACCACTCCTCTTCACAAAATCTGTTTCAGTGTAGCAATATTCTTGGGATGTCTGGTGTGAATCGCTCTCTTAAGGTCATGCCACAGCATTTCAATTGGGTTGAGGTCAGGACTGGGCCACTCCAGAAGGCGTATTCTGTGCTGTTGCAGCCATTGTTTTGTTGAATGACTTGTATGCTTTGGGTCATTGTCCTGTTGCATCACCCATCCTCTGCGGAGCTTCAGTTGGCGGACAGATGGTCGTACGTTTTCCTGCAAAATGTCTTGATAAACTCTGGAATTCATTTTCCCATCAATGACAACAATCCGTCCAGGCCCTGAGGCAGCAAAGCAGCCCCAAACCATGATGCTCCCTCCGCCATGTTTCACAGTGGGGATGAGGTTTTGATGTTGGTGTGCTGGGCCTTTTTTTCTCCACACATAGTGTTGTGTGTTCTTCCCAAACAACTCAATCTTGGTTTCATCTGTCCACAGTATATTCTGCCAGTAGTGCTGTGGAACATCCAGGTGCTCGTCTGCAAACTTCAAACGTGCTGCAATCTTCTTTTTGGACAGCAATGGCTTCCTCCGTGGTGTCCTCCCATGTACTCCATTCTTGTTTAATGTTTTCCTTATTGTAGATGTGGCAACAAAAATGTTAGCATGTGCCAGAGATTTCTGTAGGTCTTTAGCTGACACTCTTTGATTCTTCTTTACCTCATGCAGCATTCTGCGCTGGGCTCTTGCAGTCATTTTTACAGGACGACCGCGCCTAGGGAGAGTAGCAACAGTGCTAAACTTTCTCCATTTGTAGACAGTCTGTCTTACCGTGGACACATGAACATCAAGGCTCAAGGAGATACTTTTGTAACCCTTTCCAGCTTCATGCAAGTCAACAATTCTTGATGGTAGGTCTTCTGAGAGCTCTTTTCTGCGAGGCATGGTTCACATCAGACAGTGCTTTTTGAAACCAGTAAACCCAAAACAGGTGTCAGCAACACATCCAATATCATCACACTGATTGGAGTCAAGGTTGGCTCACTCCTGGCTCCAATTAGCTCTGGGAGAAGTCATTAAGCTAGGGCCTCACATACTTTTTCCTCCCTGCACTGTGAATGTTTACATGTTATGTGCAATTAAACCATGGCAACATCTAATGTTTGTGTAGTATTATGTTCAGCAGACTGTGTTCTTCTATTGTTGTGACTTAGATGACGTTCAGAGCACATTTTATGCCCAATTCATGCAAAACTCCACGTAATCCCAAGGGGTTCACATACTTTTTCTTGCAACTGTATTTGCAAAATTTTATAAGAAAAAACACTTTTTTTTTTTTAATTTTTGGACTTTTTCATTTATATAGCAAAAAAAAAAAATCCCAGTGGTGAATAAATACCACCGGAATGCAGTTTTATCTGTCTAAAAAAAGATGCTAAAAATTTCATATGGGTACAGTGTTGCATGACCGCGCAATTGTCAAAGTGAGTGTCCAGGGGTGGAGTGTCCAGACTGGAAATGGTGAAAAAAAGCAAAACAGCCCAGAGACATGTTCAGAGACATGTTTCGGGCATATTTCATGCTGTATGCACAGAAAAGGTTTACATGTACATAGTATGCAGCACCCCATTGGAGCCGCCCCCCTCCGGGCAGAAGACAGATCACACACGTGACAACACATACCTGCTTCGCTGTGTGCGACTACTACTCCGAGCTCATTTTCTGCTGTGCTGAGCAGGTAATTGGACTGAACATCTCCCAGGGATATCTAGACAGGACATCAAGGAGCATTTTCAAGATAAATGAGCAATTCACCGATCTCTCCATTCAATCCTGCGGATCAGCTCCCCAAAAGGTGCCAATCCTTATGCAGGAGCTGGGCACAAAGCATTAAAGCGGAACTTCCCTTTTAAGTGGAGCTCAGCTTTAAATTTTCCTAGCAGACAGGCTTTTATTTTTTCTAAAGAGGCCTACTGCATGTTCTCCCTGTGCCTGCGTTGGTTTCCTCCGGGTACTCCGGTTTCCTCCCACAGTCCAAAGACATGCTGGTAGGTTTATTGGCTCCTAAATTGTCCCTAGTATTTATGAATGTGAGTTAGGGACCTTCGATCGTGCGCCCCTTGAGGGCGAGGGACCTTCGATCGTGCGCCCCTTGAGGGACCTTCGATCGTGCGCGCCCCTTGAGGGACCTTCGATCGTGCGCCCCTTGAGGGCGAGGGACCTTCGATCGTGCGCCCCTTGAGGGCGAGGGACCTTCGATCGTGCGCCCCTTGAGGGCGAGGGACCTTCGATCGTGCGCCCCTTGAGGGCGAGGGACCTTCGATCGTGCGCCCCTTGAGGGCGAGGGACCTTCGATCGTGCGCCCCTTGAGGGCGAGGGACCTTCGATCGTGCGCCCCTTGAGGGCGAGGGACCTTCGATCGTGAGCCCCTTGAGGGCGAGGGACCTTCGATCGTGAGCCCCTTGAGGGCGAGGGACCTTCGATCGTGCGCCCCTTGAGGGCGAGGGACCTTCGATCGTGCGCCCCTTGAGGGCGAGGGACCTTCGATCGTGCGCCCCTTGAGGGCGAGAGACCTTCGATCGTGAGCCCCTTGAGGGCGAGGGACCTTCGATCGTGAGCCCCTTGAGGCCAGGGACCTTCGATCGTGCGCCCCTTGAGGGCCAGGGACCTTCGATCGTGCGCCCCTTGAGGGCCAGGGACCTTCGATCGTGCGCCCCTTGAGGGCCAGGGACCTTAGATCGTACGCCCCTTGAGGGCCAGGGACCTTAGATCGTACGCCCCTTGAGGGCCAGGGACCTTAGATCGTACGCCCCTTGAGGGCCAGGGACCTTAGATCGTACGCCCCTTGAGGGCCAGGGACCTTAGATCGTACGCCCCTTGAGGGCGAGGGACCTTAGATCGTACGCCCCTTGAGGGCGAGGGACCTTAGATCGTACGCCCCTTGAGGGCGAGGGACCTTAGATCGTACGCCCCTTGAGGGCCAGGGACCTTAGATCGTACGACGCCCCTTGAGGGCCAGGGACCTTAGATCGTACGCCCCTTGAGGGCCAGGGACCTTAGATCGTACGCCCCTTGAGGGCCAGGGACCTTAGATCGTACGCCCCTTGAGGGCCAGGGACCTTAGATCGTACGCCCCTTGAGGGCCAGGGACCTTAGATCGTACGCCCCTTGAGGGCCAGGGACCTAGATCGAACGCCCCTTGAGGGCCAGGGACCTTAGATCGTACGCCCCTTGAGGGCCAGGGACCTTAGATCGTACGCCCCTTGAGGGCCAGGGACCTTAGATCGTACACCCCTTGAGGGCCAGGGACCTTAGATCGTACGCCCCTTGAGGGTTAGGAACTGATGTGAATGTACAATATATGTAAAGCGCTGCGTAAATTGATGGCAAAATTAAAGCACCTGAAATAAATAAGTAAATTCTGAATCTCTTCTGCAATCAAAGCTTCTTACCTGCTAGGAAACTTCTTTAGAACGCACACTGAGCTGCACAACCACAGCTCAGTGTATTTCTGGCATGCATTGGTGGCTGGGATGAACTCCCAAAAGGGGGGCGGGAGGGGAATTACCTTACCCCAGGTTGGGCCAATCAATATGGCTAAAGATGCAGAACCCAGACATAGGCCAGGCCAAAAAAAGATGGCGCCTGCAAGGGCAGGAACCCGCAGGTGTTGCAGTGCTGAAAGCGGTATAATGGACTTTTTTAATGGTTGAACTGGATGGACTTTTGTCTTTTTTCAGCCAGACTATGTAACCACGGGCTTGCTTACAACTAACAGCAAGGACTCTGAAAAGCAATCCATGCATGTATCACTTTTTAGAGGCGTTTGATAGACGGTGGCAATATGTTTAACCCCTAAACGCCGCACTACTGCTCCTCAACAACGTGCACATAGTTGCAGCAAGGCGGCATTCACACGAATGGGTCACCTTCGGCTTTAGTGTCTTCCAAACTCACAAGGGGGTGCAGCTTCTGCTGCAAAGCATCACAGTCCCGGCATGTTTACCCCCAAGATTTTAACCCTTCTCTAGCATATGGTGGGGTGTGCGTAAATATTTTACACACATTTAAAAAAAAAAAAAAAAAAAAAAAAAAAAAAACGCAGCCCATCATCACAACGCACAGTATCCGCCATGTGTTGCACTTTACAGAGAGCTGGGTGCCGGTCACCATGACGCACCACATGTAGAGCAGGTGCTACGCCTTACGGCAATGTGCGTTAACCTATGAGTTTTAAAGCGCGTTGCCAGCGCACATGTGTACACGGGGGCCCTCAATGTAGCAGAACGAGGTTGTTACATGCATTGATTTCCTCCTCTAACCCTTTTGCTGCCAGAATATTTTGTGCATTTTTACAGTTACATTGGTCCAGCTTGGACCAACTATCTCTCTCTCATACCTGTGGGATTCCTCTAGATCAGTGGTTCTCAACCTTTCTAATGCCGCGACCCTTTAATACAGTTCCTCATGTTGTGGTGACCCCCAACCATAAAATTCTTTACCCAGTAATTATAATTCATGTGTCGTTTTACCTTCAATACTGCTGCTTTCAACACAGTAGCTGCTTTCTACACAGTAGCTGCTTTCTACACAGTAGCTGCTTTCTACACATCGGAAATATGTGTTTTCCGATGGTCTTAAGTGACCCCTGTGAAAGGGTCGTTTGACCCCCAAAGGGGTCGCGACCCACAGGTGAGAACCACTGCTCTAGAAGCTGGAAATCACTGTAGTAGACACCGCTACTACAGTGATCTCCACTAGCTTCCAATCCCAAGGTTAGCAGCTGCCTTGCTGCATTGTGAACACAGGAGGTGGGCAGCTCAGCATGGTCGCCATTCAGAGAATGGTTTGCATTTTCTGAATGAATGCAAAGTGTTCTCTGATTGGACGAGGTGAAGAGTGACATCAACACCTAGCTTCCCCACCTTGTACAATCATCAGGGCCGGTGCTTCCACTAGGCAAACTAGACGGTTGCCTAGGGGCGCCTAGACGCAGCACAGGCCGGCACCCTTTCCATGTGGGATGCTGCCACGTCATGAATAAGCCTCCAGCTAAGGGGAGAGGTGGCAGAGAAGAGCAGAATACAGAGGACTAATGAGGTTGCACTGATGAGGTGGCACGGATAGGCGGCACTGATGAGGTGGCACGGATGAGGCGGCACTGATGAGGTGGCACGGATAGGCGGCACTGATGAGGGTGGCACGGAAACGGATAGGCGGCACTGATGAGGTGGCACTGATGAGGCGGCACGGATGAGGCGGCACGGATGAGGTGGCCATTTACTTTGTGATCTGCAGTGGACATGGCTGATCACGTGGTAAAAGGCCGCTGTGATTGGCCTTTTACCACATCATGTGATCAACTACGTCCCTAGTACACAGTGATCACTGACAGCGCTGGGTGCGTCCCGCCATGACGCCCCTCCCAGAACTGGACAACAGTGCTGTAGCCGTCATTCAGGCCCTATAAAAGCGTACAGATCTCCTCGGTGATGAAGTCGTATAGCTCCCTGGAAATGTATTCATTTATATCCCTCCTATAAATAAAAGGATACAACTTTTCCCATGACGATATCTCCTGGCCGAAAACTTTTGTAAACTTCAACCTGAGGAAACATTGAAACCGTTAATTTCAAACAGTACGCAAAAAAATTAAAATTTAAAGTCAGACTCCGTGTTTTTTGTGGAAGTCAGACGTCACAATTATGTGACAGCTCAGGGGTGAAGATAACATAACGGAGTGTTCAGAGATCCCATCACGAGTAACCACTACGCACTACGCTGCTGCCCAGATGTGTGAGTTCATACATAATCTGCATGGAGTTTGCATGTTCTCCCTGTGCCTGCAAGGATTTCTTCCAGGTAATCCAATTTCCTCCCATGCTCCACAGACATGCTGGTAGATTAAAGGGTCAGTTGACCTTTAAAGGATAAGGGACATCTGTAGACAAAATGTGCAGCTACACACACACACACACACACATATATACACAGTCAGGTCCATAAATATTGGGACATGGACACAATTCTAACATTTTTGGCTCTATACACCACAATGGATTTGAAATGAAACAAACAAGATGTGCTTTATCTGCAGACTGTCAGCTTTAATTTGAGGGTATTTACATCCAAATCAGGTGAACGGTGTAGGAATTACAACAGTTTGCATATGTGCCTCCCACTTGTTAAGGGACCAAAAGTAATGGGACAGAATAATCATCATAAATCAAACTTTCACTTTTTAATACTTGGTTGCAAATCCTTTGCAGTCAATGACAGCCTGAAGTGTGGAACGCATAGACATCACCAGACGCTGGGTGTCATCCCTGGTGATGCTCTGCCAGGCCTTTACTGCAACTGTCTTCAGTTCCTGCTTGTTCTTGGGGCATTTTCCCTTCAGTTTTGTCTTCAGCAAGTGAAATGCTCCATCGGATACAGGTCAGGTGATGGACTTGGCCATTGCAGAACATTCCACTTCTTTGGTTGCTTTTGCAGTCTGCTTTGGGTCATTGTCCATCTGCACTGTGAAGCGTCCAATGAGTTGTGAAGCATTTGGCTGAATATGAGCCGATAATATTCCCGAAACACTTCACAATTCATCCGGCTGCTTCTGTCAGCCGTCACATCATCAATAAATACAAGAGAAGCAGTTCCATTGGCAGCCATACATGCCCACGCCATGACACACTACCACCACCATGATCACTGATGAGGTGGTATGCTGAGGACCACGAGCAGTTCCTTCTCCATCCTCTTCTCTTCCCATCACTCTGGTACAAGTTGATGTCGGTCTCATCTGTCCATAGGATGTTGTTCCAGAACTGTGAAGGCTTTTTTACATGTCGTTTGGCAAACTCTAATCTGGCCTTCCTGTGTTTGAGGCTCACCAATGGTTTCCATCTTGTGGTGAACCCTCTGTATTCACTCTGGTGAAGTCTTCTCTTGATTGGTGACTTTGACACACATACACCTACCTCCTGGAGGGGTGTTCTTGATCCGGCCAACTGTTGTGAAGGGTGTTTTCTTCACCAGGGAAAGAATTCTTCGCTCATCCACCACAGTTGTTTTCCGTGGTCTTCCGGGTCTTTTGGTGTTGCTGAGCTCACCGGTGCGTTCCTTCTTTTTAAGAATGTTCCAAACAGTTGTTTTGGCCACCCCTAATGTTTTTGCTATCTCTCTGATGGGTTTGTTTTGTTTTTTCAGCCTAATGATGGCTTCACCGATAGTCACAGCTCTTTGGATCTCATCTTGAGAGTTGACAGCAACAGATTCCAAATGCAAATAGCACACTTGAAATGAACTCTGGACCTTTTCTCTGCTCATTGTAATTGGGATAATGAGGGAATAACACACACCTGGCCATGGAACAGCTGAGAAGCCAATTGTCCCATTACTTTTGGTCCCTTAACAAGTGGGAGGCACATATGCAAACTGTTGTAATTCCTACACCGTTCACCTGATTTGGATGTAAATACCGTCAAATTAAAGCTGACAGTCTGCAGTGAAAGCACATCTTGTTTGTTTCATTTCAAATCCATTGTGGTGGTGTATAGAGCCAAAAATGTTAGAATTGTGTCCATGTCCCAATATTTATGGACCTGACTGTATATATACACACACACACACACTGTGAAACATGGTGGTGGCAGCATCATGTGGTGGGGATGCTTTTCTTCAGCAGGGACAGGGAAGCTGGTCAGAGTTGATGGGAAGATGGATGGAGCCAAATACAGGGCAATCTTAGAAGAAAACCTGTTGGAGTCTGCAGAAGACTTAAAGGTTCCCCTTCCTGCAGGACAACGACCCGAAACATCCAGCCAGAGCTACAATGGAATGGTTCCGATCCAAGCATCTTCATGTGTTAGAATGGCCCAGTCACAGTCCAGACCCAAATCCAATGGAGAATCTGTGGCCAGACCTGAAAATTGCTGTTCCCAGACGCCCTCCATCCAATCTGACAGCTTGAGGGATTCTGCAAAGAAGAACGGGCAGAAATGTCCCTCTCTAGATGTGCAAAGAGACATCCCCAAAAAGACTTGCAGCTGGAATTGCAGCCAAAGGGGGCCCTACAAAGTATTGACTCCGGGGGGGGCCGAATACAAATGCCGCCACACTTTCCATGGATTTATTGGTCACAAATGCTGAAAACCATTTCTCATTTTCCTTCCACTTCACAATTATGTGCCACTTGTGTCGGCCCATCACATCCAATCCCGATAAATACATTGTAACATGACAACATGGGGGACATTTCAGGGGGAGGGGGAATACATTGTAACATGACAACATGGGGGACATTTCAGGGGGAGGGGGAATACATTGTAACATGACAACATGGGGGACATTTAAGGGGGGGAGGGGGAATACATTGTAACATGACAACATGGGGGACATTTAAGGGGGGGAGGGGGAATACATTGTAACATGACAACATGGGGGACATTTCAGGGGGAGGGGAATACATTGTAACATGACAACACTGGGGACATTTCAGGGGGAGGGGAATACATTGTAACATGACAACACTGGGGACATTTCAGGGGGAGGGGAATACATTGTAACATGACAACATGGGGGACATTTCAGGGGGAGGGGAATACATTGTAACATGACAACACGGGGGACATTTCAGGGGGAGGGGAATACATTGTAACATGACAACACGGGGGGCACTTCAGGGGGAGGGGAATACATTGTAACATGACAACATGGGGGGCACTTCAGGGGGAGGGGAATACATTGTAAAATGACAACACGGGGGGCACTTCAGGGGGAGGGGAATACATTGTAACATGACAACACGGGGGGCACTTCAGGGGGAGGGGAATACATTGTAACATGACAACATGGGGGGCATTCAAGGGGGGGGAGGGGAATACATTGTAACATGACAACATGGGGGGCATTCAAGGGGGGGGGGGGGAGGGGGAATACATTGTAACATGACAACATGGGGGACATTTCAGGGGTGTGAAGACTTTTTCAAGGCGCTGTACATATAAATAAGGGACCATAGATTGTAAGCAACGTGAGAACAAGGACTGATGTGAATGTAAAGTATGTAAAGTGTAAATTGTCGGCACCAAACAATGAATACAGGACGCTTTCAATGCATTTGAGAGGTGCAGACAGCCGTTACCTTGTCTTTCTCCGTTGCTCGGATGTCTTCCTTCCTACAAATAAAAAAAAAGTCAACGTATTGAAATTTTAATATATGATTTCCTTAATAAAACGGCAAAATAAAAACAAATTATAAACATAAAAAATCTTCATAAGTATTTTGTACATCAGAACTAGCACAGAATCTGTCGTTCGTATCTCCCTCTTGTAACCCCCTGTATAGCAGCTCCCAGGAAAGGAGCCAATCAGATGCCACTTCCTTGCATAGTGCTGACTGATTGCACGAGTATAGCTCCTCCTCCAATGTCCTGGATCAGGATCCAAGAATTAAAAGAGGATCTTCGGCCGCCTCATCACCCCCCCTTTAGATACTCAACCAACAAACCTACCGATCCAGAGTCGTCCCGCTGAGATCCTCCTGTATTCTGCCACCTCTCAGTCCCGTGCCGCCATGTTTAATGGGAAATCATCAAGAGGCCTGCCGGTTCCTGGTTCAGCTAGTGCGCCTGATGATGTGGTGCAAGGCACACCCCCCCCCCCCCCCCCCCCCGAATGAAGCAATATTCCTCCTGGTATATGTGATGAGCGAGGGAGGACCTCACATGGCATTCAGCTAGGCCAGGGGTAGGCAACCTGAGAGCCGCAGGACTATAAGTTCCATCATGCCTCTGCAAGTCATAGCTGTAACTGTCAGTTTTGTAATCTTTGCAATGCCTCATGGGAAATGTAGTTCCACAACAGCTAGAGAGCCGCAGGTTGCCTACCCCTGAGCTAGGCAAATGACGGGAAAAGGGGGAGGAGAGGAGGGAAGTCTCTGGTGAAGGTGAAATTCCACTTTCACTTCCTGTAATCTGCACTCCAGGACCCGGCTATGTTGCCGAGATAATAATGGTTGACAAACTAAAATTACAAATGTCCTTTGAAAAAAAAGGATAAAATGATTTACCTTGCATTCTTGCAGCCGATAAATTGAGAAATACTGTGGGAGCTGTGATTGGTCACAGCTTGTCACATGGTACAAGGCCGTTGTGAATAGCCCTGTACCATGTGACCTCTGTGATCATTCACAGATTTCTCACGTAGTAAGCAATGATGTCAGAAGTGACATCTTGCTTACTACTCTGCATGTGATCACTGATTGGCCAATCAGTGATCACATGATCGGGACCCTCGCACAGAGGTCCCGTACAGCAATCGGTGTTCCACTTTGTCCGGAGGACACAGCGGGCACCAGATCGCTGTGCGCTCCCAGGGAATGCGCACAAGCAGGGTCGGGGAGGACGTTTATAAACTGCCACCCGCCCCTGCACTGCCACAGTCCGGCTGTTTATATACAACGGCTGGACGGGAGGTGGTTAAAAAGAGAAAAAAAAAAAAAAAAAACCAAAAAAACCCATACTGCCTTACCTGATTGTACCTCTGAAGGTGTTTTTGAGAGCTCTGTTAGCAATAAACATGATCTGAACTTTAGCAAATCTTTGGTGTATGCTCATCACCTAGGTATAAGAAAAAAAAAACAACACTTTAGAACCCTTGTCAATTTTTATGCGTTCTGCATTGGGGTTTTTTTTTGGCCAACTTGTTGCTGGGCAGACTAAAAATGCAAAACGCATCCACCCTAAACTGGCTCCTCCATGTCTTTATGGACCTTGCTTTGTGCACTGGTGGCAGTCATGTTGGAACAGGAAGGGGCCATCCCCAAACTCCTCCCACAAAGATGGGAGCATGAAATTGTCCAAAATGTCACCTTAAGAGTTCCCTTCACTGGAACTAGGGGGCCAAGCCCAACCCCTGAAAAACAACCCCACACCATAATCCCCCCTCCACAAAACTTTACATTTCGCACAATGCAGTCAGGAAAGTACCTTTCTCCTGGCCACCACCAAACCCAGACACGCCCATCAGATTGCCAGACAGAGAAGCATGATTGGTCACTCCGGAGAACACGCCTTCACTGCTCTAGAGTCCAGTGGCGGCGTGCTTTACACCACGGCATCCGACGCTTTGCATTGCACTTGGTGATGGAAGGCTTGGATGCAGCTGCTCGGCCATGGAAACCCATTCCATGAAGCTCTCTACGCACTGTTGTTGGGCTCATCTGAAGGCCCACACCTTGGCCACACCATGGAGGGGACTGGGACACCTGAATCCCATGATGGGGAGGGGACTGGGACACCTGAATCCCATGATGGGGAGGGGACTGGGACACCTGAATCCCATGAATGGGGAGGGGACTGGGACACCTGAATCCCATGATGGGGAGGGGACTGGGACACCTGAATCCCATGAATGGGGAGGGGACTGGGACACCTGAATCCCATGAATGGGGAGGGGACTGGGATGAATCCCATGAATGGGGAGGGGACTGGGACACCTGAATCCCATGAATGGGGAGGGGACTGGGACACCTGAATCCCATGAATGGGGAGGGGACTGGGACCACCTGAATCCCATGAATGGGGAGGGGACTGGGACACCTGAATCCCATGAATGGGGAGGGGACTGGAGGGGACTGGGACACCTGAATCCCATGAATGGGGAGGGGACTGGGACACCTGAATCCCATGAATGGGGAGGGGACTGGGACACCTGAATCCCATGAATGGGGAGGGGACTGGGACACCTGAATCCCATGAATGGGGAGGGGACTGGGACACCTGAATCCCATGAATGGGGAGGGGACTGGGACACCTGAATCCCATGAATGGGGAGGGGGGACTGGGACACCTGAATCCCATGATGGGGAGGGGACTGGGACACCTGAATCCCATGATGGGGAGGGGACTGGGGACACCTGAATGGGACACCTGAATGAATGGGGAGGGGAATCCCATGAATGGGGAGGGGACTGGGACACCTGAATCCCATGAATGGGGAGGGGATTGGGACACCTGAATCCCATGAATGGGGAGGGGATTGGGACACCTGAATCCCATGAATGGGAGGGGATTGGGACACCTGGATTGGGACACCTGAATCCCATGATGGGGAGGGGATTGGGACACCTGAATCCCATGATGGGGGGGAGGGGAATTGGGACACCTGAATCCCATGAATGGGGAGGGGATTGGGACACCTGAATCCCATGAATGGGGAGGGGATTGGGACACCTGAATCCCATGAATGGGGAGGGGATTGGGACACCTGAATCCCATGATGGGGAGGGGATTGGGACACCTGAATCCCATGAATGGGGAGGGGATTGGGACACCTGAATCCCATGAATGGGGAGGGGATTGGGACACCTGAATCCCATGAATGGGGAGGGGATTGGGACACCTGAATCCCATGAATGGGGAGGATTGGGGACACCCCTGAATCCCATGAATGGGGGAGGGGATTGGGACACCTGAATCCCATGAATGGGGAGGGGATTGGGACACCTGAATCCCATGATGGGGAGGGGATTGGGACACCTGAATCCCATGAATGGGGAGGGGATTGGGACACTGAACCTGGGGAATTGGGACACCTGAATCCCATGATGGGGAGGGGATTGGGACACCTGAATCACATGATTGGGAGGGGATTGGGACACCTGAATCACATGAATTGGGGAGGGGATTGGGACACCTGAATCACATGATTGGGTGGGGCGGGGACAATACTTTGGGCAATATAGCGATTATGTACGTAATGCACACTACTTCCGAGATTCCACATGGACAACATGAACAATTCTGTATCCAAAATATACAAGGTGCCTGTTAATACAGGACCACTGGTTGGTACAAGTCCTTACCTTACATGTGACGATGGCGCCAATTTCTGGTAGAAGAAGGGAATCCGTGTCCCTCACCACAGATAACATAGGCTGCAGATGAATAATACAGAAAGAATTTAAGCGGTTTTTGCACCTTTTTTATTTTTTTTGCACACATTTAGAAAATTATTTCTGGCCTGAAGATGACACAAAACCTCAAACCATGATATATATTTTCTGAAAGCGAACACCCTAGACCAGGGGTGGGCAACTGTGGCCCTCCAGCTGTTGGTGAACTACAAGTCCCATCATGCCTCTGCCTTTGGGAGTCATGCTTGTAACTGTCATTTTTGCAATGCCTCATGGGACTTGTAGTTCTGCAACAGCAGGAGGGCCACAGCTGCCCACCCCTGCCCTAGAGAATAATTTTTTATGTCACCGGATATTACCGCAAAGGTCTAGGAAATGCAAAGTTTCGGTAAAAATCACACTAAAGTGAATTTTAGGGCAAAGAAATGCAATAAATGACCCACATTTTTGGTAAAAATATAAAAGACGAGGTTGTGCCGGGTAGATAGATACCCAACGTGTCAAACCTTAAATTTGCGTGTGCCTGTGAAATGGCGGCAAACTTCAGTACCCGATATTTTCTTTGGGCAACGATTCAAAAGCCCCTTATAGGTCATCGGTTTAGTTTTACAGAGGAAGTCTGGTGCTGGAATCATCGCTCTGACTCCGGTGTGCGCCGCGATATGTAACGTGTATCGCAATCGACGGTTTCACATATAGATGCCCCAATGTGTGTGTTTATGTTTGTACTTCTGCATATGTGGGGGGGTGGGGGGGCCTCAAATCTTTTTTGAGTGGGGTGGGGTAGGAGGGACGTTATGGGCTTGGGTGTAACTTTTTCTGCAATAAAAAAAAAAAACCAAAAAAAAAAAAAAAAAAAAGTTTCTTAACTTTTTTTTTTGTTAACCACTTGAGCACCTGAGGATTTACCCCCCTTAATGACCAGGCCTTTTTTTTGCTGTTTGGGGTTAATGGGGATCAAGGGGTTAAATGGGATTACTGGTGTACTAGCGGGCAAACTGGCGCTATCTGGGAGGGGTGCTAACACTATCGGAAGTCGCCAGCGACACTGATACAGTGATCAGTAAAAAATCGGTTCAGTGACACTGGTGACAGGGCAGTGAAGGGTTAACTGGGGGGGGGGGGGGGGGGGGGGGGAGATTAAGGGGTTAAATGGGATTACTGGTGTACTAGCGGGCAATCTGGCGCTATCTGGGAGGGGCGCTAACACTATCGGAAGTCGCCAGCGACACTGATACAGTGATCAGTAAAAAAATTGGTTCACTGATCAGTGACACTGGTGACAGGGCAGTGAAGGGGGTTAACGGGGGGGGGGGGGGAGATTAAGTGGTTAAATGGGATTACTGGGGTACTGGTGGGCAATCTGCCGCTATCTGGGAGGGGCGCTAACTCTATCGGAAGTCGCCAGAGACACTGATACAGTGATCAGTAAAAATCGCTTCACTGATCAGTTACACTGGTGACAGGGCAGTGAAGGGGTTAACGGGAGGGGGGGGGGGGGGGGGGCGATCAAGGGGTTAAATGTGTCCTTAGAGTGTTCTAACTGTCAGTGTGCTGTTTTACTCACGTTTAAATGTTTCTTCTTCTCTGTCTGGAACGGAATGTGTCCAGGCAGAGAAGAATGACATCATATCCTGTCCTGTGTAAATGTCAACACAGGACAGGATAGGACAGGGACCGATCATCTGATTTCAGCCAGAAATCACTGGCTGAAATCTAATGATTGATCCCTCCTGGATCGAATGGTGTCACCCGCGGGGGTCGGCGGGAGCGCGCGCGCCCCCTACCTGAAAAAGTCTCGGGAGCGCGGAGCCCGTTTTAAAACGTGCTTTTGCGCTCCACTGCCGCCCTGCACACGTATATATACAGTGGCAGGGCGGCAAGTGGTTAATCACAAAGTCCTCTATGTGATGATTTTTAGGTGACAGGTTCTCTTTATTGGGACATGCAGGTGTCACGGGTACCGGGGGCTGTGGAAGTTTGCCTGTCAGTTTTTATATACAATCTCAGTGACTGCAGCCACTGGTTTGTGTATAACCCCCTCACCCCCGCTCTGAGGTCCATATGACGTACAGACCAGGCGGCAAAAGGGATAAGAGGGGAAACAAAGATCTGAATAGTGAACCAATGGGGTTGATTTACTAAATACAAATAGACTGTCCACTTTGCAAGTGCAGTTGCTCCAGAGCTCGACGCCAACAGTACGAAAATATGCGACCTATCAGCGGCTGGGCCGTGATGTCGAGCGGTGGGGGCGCATATTTGCGTACCATTTGTAAACAAACGTGTGCCGAGTGCGCTCCCCTTTTTGATTTGATCACCTGTGTGTTTTTTATTTTTTTGTGCTATTAACAAAAAAAGACTGACAATTTTGAGAAAAAATGAATACATTTTGGACTTTTTGCTATAAAAAACGTCCAGTAAAACATTTAATAAAAAAAAAAAAAAAGGGGTTAACATCTGGGGTGATCAAAGAGTTAACTGTGTGCTTTTCACTGTACGCATGCTGCTCTGCAGAGCCATACAAAGCAGTGGGCTGGAGCTGACGGGAGAGATCTGTGTTGTTTACATACAGACCTCTCCCTGATCAGTGATCGCCGGGTGGGCGGCGGGGAATCCCCAGCCGGAATCCGTGTGATTGACAATGGAGGCCGCCAATGGCGGTGCGGGCAGGGAGTGCGCCCCCTACCTGAAAATGCAAAAATCACATTGTGTGTATATGTGTGTGTGTGTGTACACACACGTGTGATTTTGCGCAGCCCTGCATCAGTATTTCTGCTATAGGGTGGCGGGAAAGCGGCTGAAGACGGGGTAGATCAATCACAGAGCCAACATGACAGGCTGAAGGTCCGCTCGCTTCACAATGAATACTCAATCACATGCAAGGAAAATGGAAAACAGCAATTTTGCTTGCACATGATTGGACGATGGAAGCCAGCAGTGTTTCCATTCCTATGCCCCGACTTGTTTCCAAGACATGGGCTACAACAAAATGGCTGCCGAGTTGCCTCCTTTGAGAACAGTTAAAGATGTCATCGCATCAAACAAGGAGCTTTGGTGGCCATTTTGTTGTAGCCCATGTTCTCCAACTAAGTCAGGGCATAGTTATATAAACACTGGGGGGCCATATGACCCTGGCTTCACAGGTGACTGGAAAGCCAGTAGGTATACCTTAGATTGTACGTTCCTCGGGGGCGGAGCTGATGTGAATGTACAATATATATGTAAAGCGCTACGTAAATTGACGGCGCTATATAAGTACCTGAAATAAATAAGGGAAGGCATTGGCATGAATTACAAAATATTTTGTACAAATGCAAAGAGACACCGGGGGCCCTTCTGTCTGCATTGACCAGGTTAGGTAAACATTGGAGCTCAGCGATTGTGTGCAAATTTCGGTAAGTCATGGAAAACGAGACTTCACTTCCCCCCCCCCCCCCCACGTGGCCACAGCAAAATCCAATGGAATTGGTTGCATAGGAAAAGCAAACTTACCGTATCGTTGTCAAACGACTTGAGGATGTAGCCGCGGCGAGGGAGGCAAAGATGTAGCCGTGCTTGCAGTACGTCCCGTGTCCCGGAGTGCAATCCTCCAGACTGCAGAGCCTCTCACCTACAGAGAGAAGACACGCGTGTTAGGGTGCGCGTTCTGGACGATTTCTTTTTCTGCGCTCCGCCCACACGGCCGCAACACGTTTACCAACGGCGACTACAAATCCCACTGCCGCTGTAGGGGCTTATAGAGCGGGCTGGTGATCTCTCCACCCTCCCCCGCCCTTCTCCACATGGACCTGAGGCTGGGGGGTGTAAATGCTGATAGAGCCCAGATACACCGATCGCGGTTCAGATATTCTGCAGGCCTCGAAGAAATGCACATTATTCATCTATTGTAGTAAATGTGCCAACATTTAAATCATTTTGTCAAAAAAAGGTGGACTGTGCCTTTAACCACCTCCCTTCAGGCCCATGTACATAAACGGCCGGACGGTGGCACTGCAGGGGCGGGTGGCTGTTCATAAACGTCCTCCCTGCCCCGATTGTGCGCGCTCCCTGGAAGCGCGCAGCACCGTGATCCGGTGCCCGCTGTGTCCTCCAGACACAGTGGACCACCAATCGTCGTACGGGACCTCTGTGCGAGGTCCCGATCATGTGATCACTGATTGGCCAATCAGTGATCACATGCAGAGTGGTAAGCAAGATGTCACTTCTGACATCATTGCTTACTACGTGTGATATCTGTGAATGATCACAGAGATCACATGGTACAGGGCCATTCACAAACAGCCTTGTACCATGTGACAAGCTGTGACTAATCATAGCTCTCACAGTATTCCTCAATGGACTGCAGGAATGCAGCCAGAGAGAAGGAGAAATGATTTCCTCTTACAGCCTTTATGGGTGTAAAAGCAATCAGTGTAAAAAAAAAAAATCTTCATCACCCCCCACAAGTAGTAGTGTCACCATGGTGACACTACCGCTAGGGTGACAGTATGTAAAAAAAAATATATATATATATATATAAAAAAAATTAAATAAAAAAAATGTTATAAACTAATTTGGGTTATTTTCTTTTTTTTACTAAAAAGATAACGGAATAAATTTTGGCCAAGATTTATGATGAAATATTATTAGAAAAACTCGTTCAAAATTTTTGGACTTTTTCATTTACATAGCAAAAAAAAATTAACAAATCCCAGCGGTGAATAAATACCACCAAAATAAAGCTTTATCTGTCTCAAAAAAATGCTAAAAAATTCATATGGGTACAGTGTTGCATGACCGCGCAATTGTCATTCAAAGTGTGATAGAGCTGAAAGCTGAAAATGGGCCTGGACTGGAAGGGGGGGGGGGGGGGGGGAGGCGTCCGGACCGGAAGGGGGGGGGGAAGCGTCCGGACCGGAAGCGGGGGGGGGGGGGGTCCGGACCGGGAGGGGGGGGGGGGGGGAGCGTCCGCACCGGAAGGGGGGGGGGGGAGGGGAAGCGTCCGCACCGGAAGGGGGGGGGGGGGGGCGGAGCGTCCGCACCGGAAGCGTCCGGGGGGGGGGGGGGGGGGGAGCGTCCGGACCGGAAGGGGGGGGGGGGGGGGGGGGGGGGGGGAAAGCGTCCGGACCGGAAGGGGGGGGGGGGGGGGGGGAGCGTCCGGACCGGAAGGGGGGGGGGGGGGGTGGGAGCGTCCGGACCGGAAGGGGGGGGGGGGAAAGCGGGGGGGGGGGGGAGGCGTCCGGACCGGAAGGGGGGGGGGGGGGAAGCGTCCGGACCGGACCGGGGGGGGGGGGGGGGGGGAAAGCGGTCCGGACCGGAGGGGGGGGGGGGGGGGGGGAAGGGGGGGGGGAAGCGTCCGGACCGGAAGGAGGGGGGGGGGGGGGGGGGAAGCGTCCGGACCGGAAGGGGGGGGGGGGGGAAGCGTCGGACCGGAAGGGTGGGGGGGGGAAGCGTCCGGACCGGAAGGGGGGGGGGGGGGGGGGGGGGGAAAGCGTCCGGACCGGAAGGGGGGGGGGGGGGGGGGGAAGCGTCCGGACCGGAAGGGGGGGGGGGGGGGGAAGCGTCCGGACCGGAAGGGGGGGGGGGGGGGGGGAGAAGCGTCCGGACCGGAAGTGGTTAACCCTTTACAGACCTGACAGCATGGGGGGAGGGGGGGGGGGGTTTACACACAATCTGGATTGTGTCTGAGCCCGGGGTCACATACATGTTGTGCGGTACATCGCATGCGATTCACACAGGAACCGCATCACATTCCCTGCACTTCACATGTGATGTGTGTGCGGTGTGGTGGGAGTCGTACATTATGTATGGCTGTAATCACACCAAATACACGCAGGACCCCTTTTTTGGGTCGGCACTAGAATCGGATGGCACGGGTATTCACACCTCTGTGATCCGATTCTGCACATCGCACCGCGTTTTGTGGACCGATTTTGGGGGGTGTCATTAACATACACACCCGCAGAGGTTCGCATGAACGGGGGAGCGATTCTGATGTGGTGAGGAATTCGCACAGAAAACACTGAGAATTCCGCACCCCATCAGTGTGAACCCCGGGATCAAAATGAACAGGCAGATTCAGTGGTTAGTTACCTCCCTTTATGGGGGTGTTGGGTGGTACGTGCCCCATACCATTGGTGGCCAGTCCGCTCTTTAACCCCTTAATGACCGGGGTCCAATCAAATCTTAACACCTGAAACCAGTTGTAGAACCGTGACATGCGTTAGTAAACACTGCGCATATCTTTGTCACGGCTTAGTGTATCCAGGCGGGTTATACCGCTTTTTTTTCAGGGGGAAAAAAAAAAAAAATGATATATATATATATACACACACATATAATTTGTTGCAGATTACCAACACTTGGATGTGGCGGCTGTTTTAGTTTTTCTTTTCCCTTTATTTTTCACTGGTGATCCTGTCGGTAATACACTTCCTGTTGTAGGTGACAACAATCCTGTCCTGTGTCTTTGGCCAGCAGTGTTGTCACCCTGAGACTACAGAAACCTCTCATTCCCAGCTCTATCCTATATGGGGGAGGTGCTCTGTAGTCCACAGAAGATGGCAGGGGGAGGAGAGAACATTGACGGATAGATTTGTACAGGAAGTGACAAGGACACCGGAGTTCTGGCAGGATCAACAGGGGATTTCTCTGTGCTGGCAGAAACTGTACCAATGTCATGATTTGTAGGAGACAACGGATGAGAATGGGGTTCATGAGTGGGAGGTACACCCCAACAATCATACAGGGGACCCCACACCAAGAACCAATTCCGAGCACCCCATCCCCCCACCAAGACCCGTTTTTAGGGACCCCCTTTCCCCCCCCAAATCTACTTTTAGGGACCCCCCCTCTTCCAAAGAGCTGTTTCCAGGGACCCCCCTCCCCCACACCAAGACCCATTTCCAGGGACCCCCCCCTCCCCCCCACACCAAGACCCATTTCCAGGGACCCCCCTCCCCCACACCAAGTCCCATTTCCAGGGACCCCCCCTCCCCACACCAAGACCCATTTCCAGGGACCCCCTCCCCCCACACCAAGTCCCGTTTCCAGGGACCCCCCTCCCCCCCACACCAAGTCCCATTTCCAGGGACCCCCACACCAAGACCCATTTCCAGGGACCCCCCTCTCCCACACCAAGTCCCATTTCCAGGGACCCCCCCTCTCCCACACCAAGTCCCATTTCCAGGGACCCCCCTCTCCCACACCAAGTCCCATTTCCAGGGACCCCCCCCTCTCCCACACCAAGTCCCATTTCCAGGGACCCCCTCTCCCACACCAAGTCCCATTTCCAGGGACCCCCCTCCCACACCAAGACCCATTTCCAGGGACCCCCCTCCCCTCATTCGCCGCGTCCGTCACTCACCGGGAACACACCACTTCAGCGGAGCCATCACTACCACGTGACAAGCGGCACGCTGCACTCTGCGCCTCGAATGTGCAGCGCGGCATTACGTCATCCAACCGGCGACGCTCCTCATTGGTTGCTAAGGAAACGTCTTCGTGAGGCACAGTCGGCGGCGGCCATCTTTGGTATGGTAAACATTTCCCTTTTTACCACACTTGTTTTATTAAGAATGAGGGTAAAGACTGGCTGTGTGTACATGTCCAGGGCCGTATCAGTCCGGATGAATATAGAACTCCTTGTTTAGTAGCCAAAATGGCGAGATGATAAATGGGAACGTTTCACACATTGCTCAATTAAAGGGTAAAGGGATGTCAGGGAATAAAAACAAACAGGGCTGCTATATAAACATACCGAATATTGCTGTAAGTCACTCCCCTCCTCCTCCAAGCCATCCCCATGAATTCCCATCAGCTGCATTTCCGGTCCTGCATTGTTGCCAGGCTGTTGCTATGACAATTCAGTCCTATTACTAGACCATTACTATGACCAGGGGCGGACTGACCATTTGGAAACTCGTGCACTGCCCGAGGGCCCGGGGTCAGTAGGGGGCCCCATGAGATCCCCCTGGTACCTTTTACATAGGCTTTTTTGAGTTGGGCAAGGACACAGCGGTCCCATGATCCCCTATTGCCCGGGGGCCCCATGAGTTGTCAGTCCGCCCCTGACTATGACACTTCAGCCCTGTTGCTAGAACACTTCAGCCTTGTTTCTAGGCTATTGCTATGTCAGTTCATTCCTGTTACCAGACTATTGCTATGACCCTTCTACCCTATTGCTAGGCTGTTGCTGTGACACTTCAGCCCTGTTGCCAGCTATAGGAATTGGTTTGAACTGGCTTCTGGAGGGGCAGAAATGGCTTACAGCAATAGCAGGAACATTATCATTCATAGCAGCACAGTCTATTCCCTTAAACGCATGAGCAGAGGCACGCATGCACAATATAGGCTGGGCATGAGGAAGTAGAAAGCTGACACAGCGGGCACACATGCGCAATATGGACTGGGCATGGAGAAGCAGAAGGCTGACGGAGCGGGCACACATGCACAATATGGGCCAGGCATGAGGAAGCAGAAGGCTGACTGAGTGGGCACACGTGCACAATATGGGCCAGGCATGAGGAAGTAGAAAGCTGACAGAGCGGGCACACATGCACAATATGGGCCAGGCATGAGGAAGTACTGAAAGCTGACGGAGCGGGCACACATGCACAATATGGGCCTGGGCATGAGGAAGCAGAAGGCTGACGGAGCGGGCACACATGCACAATACGGGCCGGGCATGAGGAAGCAGAAGGCTGACTGAGTGGGCACACGTGCACAATATGGGCCAGGCATGAGGAAGTAGAAAGCTGACACAGCGGGCACAATATGGGCTGGGCATGGAGAAGCAGAAGGCTGACGGAGCGGGCACAATATGGGCCGGGCATGAGGAAGCAGAAGGCTGACACAGTGGGCACACATGCGCAATATGGACTGGGCATGGAGAAGCAGAAGGCTGACGGGGCGGGCACAATATGGACTGGGCATGGAGAAGCAGAAGGCTGACGGAGCGGGCACACGGGCACAATATGGACTGGGCATGGAGAAGCAGAAGGCTGACGGAGCGGGCACACGGGCACAATATGGGCCGGGCATGGAGAAGCAGAAGGCTGACGGAGCGGGCACGGGCAATATGGGCCGGGCATGGAGGAAGCAGAAGGCTGACGGAGCGGGCACACACAATATGGGCGGGCATGGGAAGCAGAAGGCTGATTGAGCGGGCACACATGCACAATATGGGCTGGGCATGGAGAAGCAGAAGGCTGACAGAGCGGGCACAATATGGGCTGGGCATGGAGAAGCAGAAGGCTGACAGAGCGGGCACATGGGCACAATATGGGCTGGGCATGGAGAAGCAGAAGGCTGACAGAGCGGGCACATGGGCACAATATGGGCCGGGCATGGAGAAGCAGAAGGCTGATGGAGCAGACATGCATGAACAGACTTTTTTTTAATGCAGGGTATATGCGTTATGGTGTGCTTCGGTATGATGAACTTTACAGTAAGTTGGGATGCCATTGCAATGCACAGCGCGTAGAGCAGGTGCCATGCTCTGCCACAACACTCACGTGTAAATGGGCCCTAATGGCTCTCACCCACCCTTATGGCACCATCCTCTGGCCAATCCAGTCAGTTTTTTTCTCCTTCATCACTCCCTAATTGGCCATTGAGATTCTGCAGCATTTCCACCATCCAAGGAGGTATGATCCTGTGCTCCAGTCGCAGGGTCATTAGGTGTTACATGGCACTTAAAGGCTAATTCCACTTTTCTGACATTGGTCCATTCAAATTTAGAGTGTAACATGGTGCCACTCCACAGCCCCCCCACCTTCTTACCTGAATCATGAAGTTCCTCCCATAGTATGTCGTATGATTTTGTATCACAGAGCCATGCACAGCAGTTCCATCCATTCACACAGACCTGGGAGTGGAAAAAAACGACAAGCCCATTCATCTGCTACCACAGCAGTGGGACCTGTCATTCTCAGTGGAACACCGATTTGGTGATGTCACCATACCCATAGTCCATTACTTACGTCCTCCAGCTCCATAACCAATGGTCCGTATCTCCGTACACGGGCGGGGGCAGGAAGAAAAGTCTGCTGGAACCTGTGCATTGTATCCACGATCCGCTAATCGCTCCAATGCATGCAATTAAAAAATGCATCCTTTTTGAAATATGGATGCATTTAATTTTTTTTCTTTACAAAAGCAGGTAACAGGGTAGTAAATGTAGACTTTGGATGACCTCTGACCCCTTGACTCAAGCTGAAGAGTCAGACAAGGTCAATAAAGATAAACGAGGGCAAATATAAAGCCTCGTTCACGCGGGGGATGAGGCCTTTACGCCGAGCTAACACACAGGAAGCCCATTCGTGTCTATAAGGATGCTGCGGCTGCATGGACACAGACGTCCGTTCCAAAAGGACATCATGTGGGTGAGCAGGCCTGAAGCACACTGTCTGCATTTGGGTCACTCACTTGCACCCTTGTCACAATGGGGTTTATTTACTAAAGCTGGAGAGTCCAAAATCAGACTCCCTTCTGCATAGAAACCAATCAGCTTCTAACCTCAGCTTGTTCAGTGAAGCTTTGGCAATGAAACCTGGAAGCTGATTGGTTTCTATGCAGAAGGGAGTCTGATTTTGGACTCTCCAGCTTTAGTAAATAAACCCCAATAGGTCAAGATGCTGTGGCACCTGCTACCTAGACCAGCAATGAAAAAATAGCCTCTTGCATGGTGTAGTCATGACCAAAAACCTTGCCCCCTCTGCATTTCTGCAGATCGCTGGTTCCATTCAGGTCTCCTGCTTGCCTGATTTTGCACACCCGTGGCGCCCTGTAGCAGTACTTCTGCTATAGGGCACCTGGGAAGAGGTTAAAGCTTCCTGTCAGAAGATCTGCTTGGCCATACATCCCTCTAAGGCAGCAATGGGCAAACTACGGCCCGGCGGACCTTTTAATCCGGCCCGCGGAGCGTGATACATTGGCTGTCAGGATGTGTGTAGGCGGGGCAGCGTGACGAACGTGAGGGGAGCTAGGCTCCTCTCACAGTCCGCCCTGAAGACCGGAACGGCGCGGGAACACGGCGAGAGGAACGCGCGGAGCAAAGGTAAGTAAATTGACACAGGGGGGACTTGGCTTACTACTTGGGGGGGAATAGTACTATGGGGGATGAATTACTATATGGGGAATTAATTACTATAGGGGGGATGAATTACTATAGGGGGGATGAATTACTATAGGGGGGATGAATTACCATAGGGGGGATGAATTACCATATGGGGGTTGAATTACTATATGGGGGATGAATTACTATGCTTACTATGGGGGAATATTACTATACTTACTATGGATGACACATACACATCATTCATCTACTCTTGGTCCGGCCCCCGGGTCCAATATATGAACCCATTGCGGCCCTCAAGTCAAAAGGTTTTGCCACCCCTGATCTAAGGCAAGCAGATATTCTGACAGGTCTGCAGGAGACCTGCATGGAATCAGATCTACTGATCGCTGGTGCAATGCTTTCCAGACTACTGTAGATAAAAATAATAAATGCACTTTTTTTTTTTACCTGCAAAAAAAAAAAAAAATGTACATATTTGTCTAAAAAGGTGAACTTATCCCTTTAAATCCCTTTTTCCCCCATTCTGTTGCTCGGTTTCATCTTCACCACATCTAGATGCCTAAATGCACTGAGTTGCTGCCATGTGATTGGCGATTTGTGTTACCAAGCCATTGAACAGGTGTACCTAATAAAGAGTCCGGTGAGTGGATACACCCCGGGTCACATCAAGCCTGACTTACAGTGAAGTCACACGATTTCAAAGTCGGGGGGACATGCCAAGTTCAGGAAACAAATCGCACCTGAAAATCGGCATATCCCCCCTAACTTTGAAGTCGTGCGACTTCACTGTAAGTCGGGGGCTTGATGTTGTGACCGGAAGAGGGGAAAATCCTCTGGAGGGCAAGTGGTTGAACTAACATAGTGCAAGACATCTGATACAGAGGTCTATGCAAATCGCACCAACAGTAGGCAATGTACTACTTTTGAAATGGGTGAAGCTCTGACCAAGTTGGAACCGCACCGATATGACAGCTCCAATAGGGTGCGACTTGGCATGCGATTTGCACCCAGTGCTACCTGGGGGGTTACAGTGGTTAATAAAGAGACTGACGCAGACCGACATCATTGCACATCACTCCTTTATTGAAATGATCTTAAATAATGGACATCTCTAGAAGGGACAAACAACCGTCATATAACAAGTGCCAGAAGAAGGGCGCACTTTACAGGCAAAGCTCCTAAACCTCTATCTAGCAGCAGAGACGAATATCCGTGAGGAACAATGCAGGCGACACGTGATCCGTACTGTCATGTCCTGCAGTATCAAGGTGACTAGGAGGGAATCATGGGAAACTGAAATACAGACCACGTGGAAATGGCTACAGTGTGATTTCAAGTGGCCCCCGTGGACACCGATCTCTCTGGAATGTCTCAGTGGTAGAACAGGATTGCTGATCCTCAGCTCACATCGTACATTGATGACCGACCTACCAGCGTTAGCGTGTGTACTAACCGTCACAGCGACATGCTAGATCCATGCGACACCCACGCGGAGCTGGAACGTACTAGAATCTAAAGACTGCACCAAGGCAACCTGCGGATCTCCAGTCTGAACATTCACAAGTCTTAGAATGCTCAGCAGGACAAAACGAGAAACCAGAAGGTCAAGGCCAGAATAATCCCGGAGATCAGTGCAGAAACTGAAAAAAAAAAAACCCAACAAACAAAAAAAGAACCGCAGCAAAACTGGACCTTTGTCCTAGAAAATGAGGCGGTATTGGAGGTGATCCATACAACACAATGCAGCAGGCATAGACTCGCATGGGTGTCATTTCAGTGCATGGTAAACGTATATGATTGGTCCGTGCAAAAAAACTGCTAACAGAACCTACAGTATGTGATTGGTTAAAAAAAAAAAAAAAAAAAAAAAGTGTAAACAAAAACTGTGATACCTATAAAAGGTTTGGTCACACCCGCCTGGGGTTGGTTTACAGAGACACTTGCAGAGGGGTTCCCTTGCAGAGACACCGGGGTTCCCTTGCAGAGACACCGGGGTTCCCTAGCACAGACACCCGGGTTCCCTAGCACAGACACCCGGGTTCCCTTGCACAGACACCCGGGTTCCCTTGCACAGACACCCGGGTTCCCTTGCACAGACACCCGGGTTCCCTAGCACAGACACCCGGGTTCCCTAGCACAGACACCCGGGTTCCCTAGCACAGACACCCGGGTTCCCTAGCACAGACACCCGGGGTTCCCTAGCACAGACACCGGGTTCCCTAGCACAGACACCCGGGAGCACAGACACCCGGGTTCCCTAGCACAGACACCCGGGTTCCCTAGCACAGACACCCGGGTTCCCTAGCAGAGACACCCGGGTTCCCTTGCAGAGACACCCGGGTTCTTTTACAGTGACTGCACAAAGGGCAATGAGTAGAGTGCAACAACCAAAAAACCGCCAATGAGATTCCCAATAGGTTGTTACGGGTTACTGCACTTCATGCAACCGATCTGAACACGCCCGTAACCTATAGATCAGGATTTGAAACGACGCGTTTCATGATGAACACGTATTCTAGCTAGTTCTAAAAAAAGAAAAAAAAAAGAAGAAGGGGTGAACGGAATGTCAGTGGAGAGATGCATTATGGGAGGTACGTGAATGGGGTTTCCCCATACAGCTGCATTTCAGGATCCCAAGATAAAAAGTGAAAACTAAGGGATGGAAGCCGATTGGTTCTCCGGGGAAAGAACCCTTCACTTGGCTTTTCCTTGGGCAGCTACGGCCTCCATGGCTTTGCGCACGGTCTCCTCGTCTCCCAGGAACTGCATTGGCTTGATGGGTTTCAGGTTCTTGTCGAGTTCGTACACAATGGGGATCCCGGTGGGCAGGTTCAGCTCCATGATCTGTTCCTCGGACATATCTGCAGGGGAGGCACACAAAAGGATATTTGTCGATTAATATTCATTATAAAAACATTTTAGACAAAGTCTACATCAGGGGTCTCCAAACTTTCTAAATAAAGGGCCAGATTACTGTCCTTCAGACTTTAGGGGGGCCGGACTGGAGCAAGTAGGAGAAGCAAGCGTCCTGGTGTCAGTGGAGTAAACAAAGCCCTATTATTCGAATTGGGGGAGTAACAGTGCCCTTTCACTGGTGTCAGTGGGAGGAATAGTGCCCCACCACTGGTGTCGGTGGGATGAACAGTGCCCCATCATTGGAGTCAGTGGGAGGAATAGTGCCCCATCACTGGTGTCAGTGGGAGGAACAGTGCCCCATCATTGGTGTCAGTGGGAGGAACAGTGCCCCATCATTGGTGTCAGTGGGAGGAACAGTGCCCCATCATTGGTGTCAGTAGGAGGAACAGTGCCCCATCATTGGAGTCAGTGGGAGGAACAGTGCCCCATCATTGGAGTCAGTGGGAGGAACAGTGCCCCATCATTGGTGTCAGTGGGAGGAATAGTGCCCCATCATTGGTGTCAGTGGGAGGAATAGTGTCCCATTATTGGTATCAGTGGGAGGAACAGTGCCCCATCATTGGTGTCAGTGGGAGGAACAGTGCCCCATCATTGGTATCAGTGGGAGGAATAGTGCCCCATCATTGGTGTCGGTGGGAGGAACAGTGCCCCATCATTGGTGTCGGTGGGAGGAACAGTGCCCCATCATTGGTGTCGGTGGGAGGAATAGTGTCCCATTATTGGTATCGGTGGGAGGAATAGTGCCCCATCATTGGTGTCGGTGGGAGGAATAGTGCCCCATCATCGGTGTCAGTGGGAGGAATAGTGCCCCATCATCGGTGTCGGTGGGAGGAATAGTGCCCCATCATTGGTGTCGGTGGGAGGAATAGTGCCCCATCATTGGTGTCGGTGGGAGGAATAGTGCCCCATCATTGGTGTCGGTGGGAGGAATAGTGCCCCATCATTGGTGTCGGTGGGAGGAATAGTGCCCCATCATTGGTGTCTGGGGGAGGAATAGTGCCCCATCATTGGTGTCAGTGGGAGGAATAGTGCCCCATCATTGGTGTCAGTGGGAGGAATAGTGCCCCATCATTGGTGTCAGTGGGAGGAATAGTGCCCCATCATTGGTGTCAGTGGGAGGAATAGTGCCCCATCATTGGTGTCAGTGGGAGGAATAGTGCCCCATCATTGGTGTCAGTGGGAGGAATAGTGCCCCGTCATTGGTGTCAGTGGGAGGAATAGTGCCCCATCATTGGTGTCAGTGGGAGGAGTAGTGCCCCATCATTGGTGTCAGTGGGAGGAGTAGTGCCCCATCATTGGTGTCAGTGGAATAGTGCCCCATCATTGGTGTCTGGGGGAGGAATAGTGATCACCATGTAATCACACTTGCTGGTTATTGGCACAGCATGAAGAAAGTACTGCCGATAACCAGCAAGTCTGAAAGGAGACATCTACACGGATTATCAGTGAAGCCCCAAAAGGTGCTCATCGGTGCCTGGTAGTGCTGCCAATCTGTGCCCAGTCAGTGCCCTTCAGTGCTGCACATTAGCGCCCCCCAGTGCCACATGTCAGTGCAGCTTCATCAGTGCCTCCTCATCACTGCCCACCAATGCTGCCTCATCAGTGCAGCCAATCTGTGCCCGGCACCTATCAGTGCAGCCTCATCAACGCACATCAGTGAAGGAGAAAAATTACCCGTTTGCAAAATGTTATAATAGAAACAAAGAAAAACTTAAATACCACCAAAAGAAAGCTCTATTTGTGTGAAAAAAAATGATAAAAATTGCATTTGGGTACAATGTCGCATGACCGCACAATTGTCAAAGTGCAACAGCACTGAAAGCAAGTGGCTATAGAGGACCTAACCACCTTCCAAAAAAAATCCCTAACAGGTCCCTGTTTTTACTAAAATATACAAAAAAAAAAAAAAAGTTTATAGTGATATTAACCCTTTGTCCTCCAGAGGATCCCCCCCCCCCCCCCTTCCTGACCAGGCCATACTCTGTGATACGGCGCTGCATTCATTTAATTAATTTGCGGTCATGCAACGCTGCACCCAAATAAAATTTACATCCTTTTCTTTCCCACGTATGGAGCTTTTTCTCGGTGGCATTTGATCGTCTGTGAAGTTTTTATTTTTTTTACTATAAAACAAAAAAAGACCGACAATTTTGAGGAAAAAAAAAAAAACAATATTTTTGACTTTTTGCGATTAAACATGTCCAGTAAAAAAAATGGGGGAAAAAAAAAAAAAAAAAAATCAAATTTAGTCATACATTTCAGCCAAAATGTATGCGGCTTCGTGTCTTTGCTAAAAAAAATGACAAAAAAAAAATCCCAATACGTGTAAATTAATTGGTTTACGTGAAAGTTGTAGCGTTTACAAATGGCGGTATAGATACTGGGATATTTTTTTTTTTTCCCTACTAATAATGGCGGCTGTCAAGGTGTGCCTGCCAGGGAAGCTTCTCCCACCCCCCCCTCCTAGTGCCTGTGTCCCTTCACACCCCCCCCCCTCCTTCTCACCTCTGCTGCGGTCCTCTTCCTCCCATCTGGCACAGCCGGGCGGGAGGAAGATGACCCCCTGCGGCGAGATTCACACCGCCCCTGGCCATACAGCCCGGAGAGGGGTGACCTCCCGCCAGGAGGTTCCGGGACAGAGCCACCGGCCTGACGCCGCGCCCCCCCCCCCGGCGGGTGCAGCGCAGGAAGGAGGCTTCCCGCGTCCACTGGAGACAAAGGCCGCGCTCTCGAGAGCGCGGCCCATGTCAAGGGGGCGTGCCTCATTTCCCGGGCAACGAGGCACGCCGCCCGATGTTGCCAGGGCAACCGGGAGCATCCTACAAAGCCTTAAGAAGGCTGATGCAGGGCTCTTCTGGTTGTTCTGTTCCACTGCCAGCTGCTGGGAGGTCTACGCTGAGGCGAGACCCCTGCAGCCACTCTGCTAAGACCCCGGGGATCACCGGAGTATTACCCACTGAGCACTCTGCAATACACCGGGGAGATTGAGGATTATTACCCGCTGAGCACTCTGCATTACACCGGGGAGATTGAGGATTATTACCCGCTGAGCACTCTGCATTACACCGGGGAGATTGAGGATTATTACCCGCTGAGCACTCTGCATTACACCGGGGAGATTGAGGATTATTACCCGCTGAGCACTCTGCATTACATCAGGGAGATTGAGGATTATTACCCGCTGAGTACTCTGCACTACCCCAGGAATACCAGGACTATTACCCACTGAACACTCTGCTAATACTCGGGGCTCAGGAGGAGTACCTGCTGCTATACTGTCAAATACTGCAGGGCCAGGATTGCTTGTGTTGCTGTGTGCTGGAGTATCAGGACTAGTACCTGCTGTGTGAACCCTCTGCTGTGTGCTGAGAAGGGACGCCCCCCCCTGCTGTCGTCCACTGTGAGCCAGGATACCCCTGCCGGAACTGAGTGTCTGCACCCCTGTTTTTCCCCCTCTATGAACTGTCCATGAACTTTTCCCCCTTACTCTTTCCTGTCTGGATTACAATTTACCAGAGACTCCAACTTTGCCCTCCTGGGGCCGCATTACAATTGTTTTGGGCCCCCATCCCTGCTCTTCCCCTGGGTACTGGGACGCTACCTTCAGACCCCAATTGAGTGACTGTCATCTTTCAATAAAGCTTTGTGTGTTTATCATCTGCTCTGTGTTCTGTCTCTGTCCTGCCTATGCTCCGTCACAGCGGCGATCAGCGACTTTTAGCGGGACTGCGGTGGGCATTCTGACCGGGGGGGGGGGGGGGGGGGGGGGGGGGGGGGGGGGGGGGGGAACTGACTTGGTGTCACCGACATACCCAGTGAAACCAATACAGTAATCGGTGCTAAAAAAAAAAAAAAAAAAAGCATTGACACTGTACTAATGGCACTGGGGAGGAAGGGGTTAATGTGAGGGGTGATCAAAGGGTTAACTGTGTGCTGGGTGTGCTTTACTAGGGGCGGGGGTGTTGGTGCGTCACTGTAATCACACTGCTCTGGATGGCTGTGCGCTGAGCTGACAGGAAGGAGGACTGTTAGGCTAGGTTCACATCTGTGCGGGTGGTGCCGCTGCATATCAGCACAAAACTCCGTACAGCCGCACCCCCCGCACAGAAACATGCGGACCCGCGGGCGGGTGCCATTAATTCTAATGGCACGCCGCTCACACTGGAAATCACAACTGTACTGGCAACCTCGGCTGCGTTTCCCGAAGAAGTGCAGGGACTTCTCAAATGAATGGGCTCTCGTGACCACGCAAAAAGTGGAGCGCAGGAACGCAGAGATGTGAACCGGGGCTTAGTAAACAAAACAGTCCTCCTTCCCCTCGATGATCATCGGAAATCACCGGGCGTCGGCAAGTAATTACCGGCTGAGACCTGATGACTGACAGCCGCGGCCGTGAGAATGCAAATTTTGAAGAAAAAAAAAAAAAACGTTTTTTTCTTAGTTTCTATTATAAAATTTTGTAAATAAGTGATTTTTTCTCCTTCACTGATGTGCGCTAATGAGGCTGCAGTGATGGGCACTGAAAGGCAGCACTCGTATATGGCAATGATAGGTGGTACTGATGGGCATTGACAGGCATCACTGATGGGCACTGAAAGGCAGCACTCGTATATGGCAATGATAGGTGACACTGATGGGCATTGACAGGCATCACTGAAAGGCAGCACTCGTATATGGCAATGATAGGTGGCACTGATGGGCATTGACAGGCATCACTGAAAGGCAGCACTCGTATATGGCAATGATAGGTGGCACTGATGGGCATTGACAGGCATCACTGATGGGCACTGAAAGGCAGCACTCATATATGGCAATGGTAGGTGACACTGATGTGCATTGACAGGCATCACTGAAAGGCAGCACTCATATATGGCAATGATAGGTGGCACTGATGTGCATTGGCAGGCATCACTGATGGGCACTGAAAGGCAGCACTCGTATATGGCAATGGTAGGTGGCACTGATGTGCATTGACAGGCATCACTGAAAGGCAGCACTCGTATATGGCAATGGTAGGTGGCACTGATGTGCATTGACAGGCATCACTGATGGGCACTGAAAGGCAGCACTCATATATGGCACTGATGGGCATTGACAGACATCACTGATGGGCACTGAAAGGCAGCACTCGTATATGGCAATGGTAGGTGACACTGATGTGCATTGGCAGGCATCACTGATGGGCACTGAAAGGCAGCACTCATATATGGCAATGGTAGGTGGCACTGATGTGCATTGACAGGCATCACTGAAAGGCAGCACTCATATATGGCAATGATAGGTGGCACTGATGGGCATTGACAGGCATCACTGATGGGCACTGAAAGGCAGCACTCATATATGGCACTGATGGGCATTGACAGACATCACTGATGGGCACTGAAAAGCAGCACTCATATATGGCAATGATAGGTGGCACTGATGGGCATTGACAGGCATCACTGATGGGCACTGAAAGGCAGCACTCATATATGGCACTGATGGGCATTGACAGACATCACTGATGGGCACTGAAAGGCAGCACTCGTATATGGCAATGGTAGGTGACACTGATGTGCATTGGCAGGCATCACTGATGGGCACTGAAAGGCAGCACTCGTATATGGCAATGGTAGGTGGCACTGATGTGCATTGACAGGCATCACTGAAAGGCAGCACTCATATATGGCAATGATAGGTGGCGCTGATGGGCATTGACAGGCATCACTGATGGGCACTGAAAGGCAGCACTCATATATGGCACTGATGGGCATTGACAGACATCACTGATGGGCACTGAAAAGCAGCACTCATATATGGCAATGATAGGTGGCACTGATGGGCATTGACAGGCATCACTGATGGGCACTGAAAAGCAGCACTCATATATGGCACTGATAGGTGGCATTGATGGGCATTGACAGGCATCACTGATAGGCACTGAAAGGCAGCACTGATAGGTGGCACTGAGGCATTGACAGGCACCACTCATATATGGCACTGATGGGCATTGACAGCCATCACTGATGGGCACTGATAGGCGGCACTGTTAGGTGACACTGACAGGCGGCACTCCCAGAACGAGAGAACCGCCTTGCGCCCCTCACTTCCTTATATGGCGGGTGGGAGGCGGTTAAACATAGAGGTAGGCTTTAACAGAGATTGCAGCAGGTGCAAGAATTCCATGGCTGCAGCAGAAGAAGGGAGACCCCCCTCGGGTGCAGGGAACAGAGCTAGCACAGGCAGACGCTGCCACTATGATGTATAACCAAGGTAGGGGGTCTCTCATTTCAGCAGTTTCAGATTTCAGCACCCACAAGCCTCTCTCTCCATATGTGACATATTCTATGTGAGGCGACTAGATGTCGCACAAACATCCTCTCCGGAGGTCTTAGTCAGCCAAATCTCTGACTTTCGGAGACGCTCGGGGAAATCCCTGAGCCAAGCGATTTTGTGGATTTGTCTAAAACAACCGAAGCTCATCTCCCGCTTTGATCCTCAATAAAAAGACGCTTCACAGACAGGCGTCATCTTGCTCAGCCAATTTAAAACCCGACTTGGAGCTCCTCCCACTGGACCCGCCCGCGGTTTGGCGTTACGTACTTTCCAGGTGCTTGACGATCCCTCTAAGGCTGTTGCCATGGGCGACAATGAGGACCCTCTTCCCTTCTTTGATCTTCGGAACGATCTCGTCGTTCCAGAATGGCAGGGCTCTGGCAATGGTGTCCTTCAGGCTTTCGCAGCTCGGGAGCTGGTCTTCTGTCAGGTCGCTGTAACGGCGATCCTGGAGAGAAGAAAAAGGAAGAAGAGGAAAAAAAAAAAAAAAAATCGACAAGGTGAACAAACACAGCAGAGTACAAAGTGCTCCCGGGACGTTTTAAAAAGCTGGTAAAATATTCAGGAAATTCTTTAATAATTTATTAACAACCAATAACACTGCAGGAGAACAGACTTTCCAAGCACATGCAAATCACGCAATTAATCCGGAGTCGCTGGACCGCAGTAATTCGATATCGCGCATTTTAAAAAGGCAAAAGACGAAGTGGCCGCTTCTGACAAGAAAAACACAACCATGTTGCCTAAAATGCATAACCTGTAACAGTGCACAGAAATGACAATTCTGGAGAGAAACTGAAATGGACAGTGTTTAAAAAAAAAATAAAAAAATTATAATATATATATATATATATACACATACACACACACACACACATACATACATATATATACACACACACATACATACACACACACACACACACACATACATACATACATACAGTTGTGTTCAAAATAATAGCAGTGTGTTGAAAAAAGTGACTAAAGCTGAAAATCCTTCTAATCCTTTTATTTCCATCCACACAAATGCATTGGGAACACGACACATTCTATTCCAAATCACAACATGAAGAAAAATACATCAAATTTGTGTTGTTCCTCTAAAAAAATGGAAAAGTGAATATTAGACGGTTCAAAAAAAATGGCCGTGTTTGTATTCTTCTTTACAAACTCCAACATTCACTATATAAACTGAGAAATGTTTGAAGATTTTGCTTTCCTTTGAATGACTTCATGAATATTTGGTTGTAGTCGCACTGTTTCTGAGAACTGCTGTACATCTGTGTTGCATGGAGTCCCCCAACTTCTGGCCCCTGTGATCAGGTATTCCAGCCCAGGATGATTGGACCACATTCCACAGTTCTTCTCTATTTCTTGGTTTGGCCTCAGAAACGGCATTTTTGATGTCACCCCACAAGTTTTCTATTGGATGAAGATCCGGGGATTGGGTTGGCCACTCCATAACGTCCATCTTGTTGGTCTGGAACCAAGATGTTGCACGTTTACTGGTGTGTTTGGGGTCGTTGTCTTGTTGGAACCCCCATTTCAAGGGCATTTCCTCTTCAGCATAAGGCAGCATGACCTCTTCAAGTATTCTGATGGATTCAAACTGATCCATGATCCCTGGTATGCGATAAATAGGCCCAACACCGTAGTATGAGAAACATTCCCATATCATGATGCTTGCACCACCATGCTTCACGGTCTTCACAGTGTACTGTGGCTTGAATTCAGTGTTTGGGGGTCGTCTGACAAACTGTCTCCGCCCACTAGACCCAAAAAGAACAATCTTACTTTCATCAGTCCACAAAATGTTGCACCATTTCTCTTTAGGCCGGTCAATGTGCTCTTTGGCAGATTGTAACCTCTTCAGCACACGTCTTTTTCCCAACAGTGGGACTTTGCGGGGACTTCTTGCAGATAGCTTGGCTTCACATCGGCGTCTTCTAATTGTAACAGTCCTCACAGGGAACGTCACACCTTCTTTCATCTTCCTGGAGCTGATTGTTGGCTGAGTCCTCACAGGGAACGTCACACCTTCTTTCATCTTCCTGGAGCTGATTGTTGGCTGAGTCCGCCCCATTTTGGCTATTCTTCTATCCATTCCAATGGTAGTTTTTCGCTTTCTTCCACGTCTTTCAGGTTTTGGTTGCCATTTTAAAGCATTTGCGATCATTTTAGCTGAGCAGCCGATCATTTTCTGCACTTCTTTATATGTTTTCCCCTCTCCAATCAACTTTTTAATCAAGGTACGCTGTTCTTCTGAACAATGTCTGGAACGACCATTTTCCTCAGAATTTCAGAGAGAAATGCACTGTAACCAGCATGTCCAACATTTGCTGCCTTCCTTCCTTAAATAAGGGCAATCATTGCCACCTGTTTATCAAAGAATGAATGACCTCACTAATAGAACTCCACACGGCTATTATTGTGAACACGCCCCTTTCAATGAGTGATTCAATGACATAGAATCAGCAGCATGCATGTCATGACTGTTGGGTCTGTTGGATTTCTATGACTCTACTACACCTGCTAGGAAATTATTTGCCATGTAGAAATATCATTTCCACCAAAAACAGTGATTGATCCGGTTAGTGATGTCCGACTGCTATTATTCGCAACACAACTGTATGAATAATTGTATTATATTCGACTTTATAATTAATATGATGAATTTAATTGAATATGAATTTATTTTCAGCCAATAGGCTGCTTTCACACAGAGCAGTTTTTGCAGCGCTTTTGCGCAAGATACAAAAAAAGCTAAAGAAAAACACATCCCTTTAAATTCAATGGATGTCTTCACACGGGTCCATTGCGCTTCCCTTGCGGTGTTAAAAATTCAGCTTGCCGCACTTTTGGTGCACATTTCACGAGAGAAAAAAAAAAAAAAAAAAAAAAAAAAAAAAAACGCACCTCCCCATTCAGGCCTGGTTCACACTAATGTGTTTTTTTGGGGCTTTTTGCAGAAATGTGCTACAGTCCATTTAAAGTGGACTTCCACTCATGCTGTCAGCTCAGAATAAAGTTGGCAAGGAGCAGAAATTACACATTGCAAAGCTCAGAGAGGAGAGTTCTGAACAGGGGCGGACTGACCATTTGGAAACTCGGGCACTGCCCGAGGGCCCGGGGTCAGTAGGGGGCCCCATGAGATGCCCCTGGTGCCTTTTTCATAGGCTTTTTTTGAGTTTGGGCAAGGTCACAGGGGCCCCAGGATCCCCTATTGCCCGGGGGCCCCATGAGTTGTCAGTCCGCCCTGGTTCTGAGAGTTGATTGGAGATAAGAGACACACCCCTTCACATA